GCCATGTAAAAATTTTCTTTAGCCTCGTCTTGTAGCTACACTTTCTGCTAACAGTTAGCAATGTTAGCATGGTCACAGCAAAAGTCACGCTGAACAGAATGTAGCCTCTGTATGTAATGTAACCATAATATCACTGTCCACTAAGCATGTTTGCTTCTTCTAATTTCAGGAGTCGACATAAAAGAACAAGTCACTGAACCTTTAGAACCAGGGTAGAATTCGCTGAAGGAATATCAATAACCGTTGTGCTGAAGTTCCCCAAGTCCAGAATAGTGGTGTTCACTTGTTCTCCAGCAAACCGTGGAAACACGATCTGAAGTCAGATGTTAGAAAGCGGTTATCCACTGTTTCAAAATGTAGCCACTTTAACATATTTTAAACTTGTAAAATAGTTACATGCAAGTAACATATTAATCAGTACTACTACTACTATTAATTGTACTACTATTTAAAAGTAGTAATCCCTCCCCAGAATTACATCAGGCCTTTTTCTATTATATAATTTTTTTTGTCATTGAGTGAAAGTATTTGCATAAGTATTTAATCCTCAAGTAAAATATGACTTAGCACTTGGTGGAGAAATTGAAAGCAGTAAAATGTTTCTTGTAGGTGGTCACCACCTTCTCTCACATCTAGGGAGGGATTATAGCCCAGTCCCCTTTACAGAAACTCTCTGAACTCTCCAGGTTTCTTGGCTTCTTCTTGGTGACTCACAGTTTCAGCTCTCTCCCTAGATTATCAAGTTCTGGAGATTGGTTAGGCCACTCCATGACCTTATTGTGATTCTTTTTTAGCCAGTGTTTTAACCAGTTGTCACCTTCTCACCAAACGTCTTGCTGATGGTCTTGTAGTCCAGATGCAGATCTAAATCTTGTCTGTCTTTTGTCTCGGCCATTGTGGTGGACAGTTTGGAATGAGTGACATTGATTCTGTGGACAGGTGTGCTTTATGCACATAAGGAGTTTAGATGGGAAGTATCTATAACTGATTGATTGATCTGTGGGATCCAGAATTCTGGCTAGCTTTGGGGATCAAATATTTCTTTCTGTTATTCTTGTCATTAACTCATGAAACCCATACAACAACTACTACCTGATGGGTGTGTTATGGATTGATAGGAATTCTGGGCAACAGATTCACCATCTCCATTTCTGTCACAAAACTATTCTTAATATGCATTTCTCAAAAGTCCCCAGAAACAAGTCCTCTCAAAAGGAGATTGAAAACAGTAAGTGTGGATGCTGTAATGTTGCTACACTGACCTGAATATCCTTACTTAAGTTTTCCACAGGGATAACAGACCCTTCTTTTGTTGTGAGGGATAAATAACCTATGAATCTGCTGATGTCCCATCCCACCTTCCAACAAAATGGGTTTACATCTAAGTTCAGCATCTGAAAGTGTAATTCAAAGATCAGGTCAGACATTAGACGTTAGGATGATTGAGCAAAATTGATTTACACACATGTACATATCCACAGCACAAACACTCATAGGCACATGGGTATTGACGTACTCGCACATCCACTGGTTTGTCTGAAGGAAGTATGGTAGTGGGTAGTTGTGGGAGAGAAAATGTGATGCAGGTACAGTTGGTAATATTTACGGAGCCTGTGTACAAGACTGCTGGTAAAACTCTGTAAGAAAAGATCAGGAGATCTACATTAAACATGTGCTTCTCTTAAATATTAGTTTGCAAGTTTAACAGCTCTGGAATCAATAAACTATTAATATACAAAGTAAAATGTGTTTTCATTGCGACTTGGCTACTTGTAACCACGTTATGGTAGTTATGTTAACGACTGGAGGGGACATAAATGTGAACCACTGTCACTTCAAAGAGGCTCAGTAAGAGATCCTTTTACTATATAATGTTGTCAGCATAATAAGCCACTGTAAAAACAAAACTGGATTCAATCTGGATTGTCACAGATTCTGCCTTTACTGTAGTAAACGGATATTTTTAAGACATAGTCACTCCTCAGCGCTTTCATAGGTGCCACACAACATTGTTTTATGGAAAATGTGGAAAATGTGAATGTGGCACTTACAAATGTGGATTGCACAACATGGACATTATATTTCTTCATTTCCATTTAATACTTGTACAGCTGCTGTTATTGTGTAGATTTATATTTCTTCATACATTCTTATATATTTCTATACTGTGTATTGTGTATTTTGTTGTACAGTTATTCTATTTTCAACTTTAATTTATATATTTTATCTTATTCTTTCCCAGTTAAATTTACCCTTCATTCTAATTTGTGTTGTACAGTTATTTCATTTTTAACTTAAATTTTTATATTTTATTTTGTTTTGTTTTATTCCTTCCTAGTTAAATTTGCTCTTTTTAATTTTTATATTTATTTCCTATCATATTCATAGCTTTTTCATTTTCCTTTAGGTCACGAGCAGTTGTGTAAGCATTTCACTACATATCGTACTGTGTATGACTGTGTATGTGACAAATAAAATTTGAATTTGAATTTGAAACATCTGTATTTGCTGAATTTTCCATGTGGTTTATGCAGGTTTTCCTTTATTTTGTCACCCATCCGTAGACAGGTGGCTGTAGGCTTCAGCTTTTTAGTATATCAGCATCAGTGAGATTTTTCCAGTTCAAATTTCTGGGACATGTGGTTAATTTTTGTTTGATAACTTTGTCTTGCATTTGAAGTGAAACGTACCTTCTGACAAATACTTTAACGTGCGTTTTCCGAATTATGCTTGAGTCCTCATTGAGCTCCATAAAGACCAACATCGCACTCTGTATATTGTACAGGGCCCCAAGAAGGCCATCTGAGGTGATTTTCTGCAACACACAACATTTAGAATAAGAAATAAAACTGATTCTAAATACAAAAAGTTTTTTTTTGAAGAGACAGCAGATATTGCTGGGAAGTGATATTGATTTGCATATCTAACATTAAAAGCTACCACGATTCCCCAAAGAAATAAACACAATCAGTATCGGCCTCATAAGACTCACACTGGGACAATAGTCGAGCATGTTGCTTATGCCCTCCACAATAATGTTGGCTGTGGCAAAGACTTCAGTTGCGTTTAGATCCATACGGAGGAGAAATGAACTCAGGGTTGCGAACAATGATGCGGCCCTTTCCTGAAGGTGGAAATGAACTCACAGTCACAGACATGTATTTGGGAGGTGTTATGAAGATATTAACATTTGTGAATTGTCAAAAGCTTTAAAATGTGGTCCTCATATCCCACCTTTAATTTTAGTACAGGGCAGAAGCCCTGTACTAAAGCCCTGTCCACCAAACATTTACTTCCCATTAAGAAGGGAGCTACAGTGAAAGCAACATACATCAGTACGCATTGCAGAGAGATGTCTACAGTCCTTACTGATGGATTCCTCCTTTTTGAACTTCTCTACAGTACCTGTGCTGATGTATTGAGTTCAGTCCCTTTCTTGACGAGAGAAGCAAGTGCTGTGGCTAACACCTGAACGTCTTGTAGAGTTTTGTTGAGATTTTCATTTACTATAGCAATCAATATGTCCAGCATCTTCTGTTGAAGCTTCAGACACCAACAAAATAAATGCATAAAAAAGTGACATATTAGAATTTTACAGTAACAATGTTGTTCATTCAGATTCAAACATTTCCTGATTCACAGAGATGGTTTTTCCTTTCCATCCACCCTGTCTGATTAAGTTTGGAAATGAGACCTGTGTTTTCTTGAGAAGCTGTCAAAAAGATGTAAAATTACACACAGAAACTTCCTTTGAATGAATCAACTGTTGGGCGGCTCCTAAAGCATGCCCTATTAAAGGCCTGTACACACTGACTGCAATCTGAATACACAACAACAAAAGGAAGAAATGGAGATTCTGGGTTCATCCAAATCTCACAACAAAGAAGCAACAGAGAAAATTTGGTGGTTTGATTCATAACTGCATTATGACTGTTTTTGTACATATTTTAGGATGTCAGTGGAGCTGTCCAGACTCTTTTTGCAAAATTACACAGTTGATGTTAACAGCTGCATTAACAATACGTGAGCCTGAAAAAATTTTAACCCATCCGGTGTGTAAAGGCCTTAAAAGTTAAAAGCTTGCTTAGCCCTGCTGGCAGCACAAGGCTCTTCAATGGTCCTATCCTTAAACAGGATGAGATTTGCTACCTTTTGCCTATCTGCTTGTCCTGCAGGATCAGATTGGTCGTTAAGTTCATTGGCCACAGAACTGAAGAGTTGTCCAGCGACTTCTGGTGACAGCTGGCCTTCTGCCTTTAACTGATCCAAGATGTTCTCTATTGAGCTTAAGCTCAAAGTTGAATCCACAACCTGATGAGAAGAAAATATTTTCTCACAGTACTACAAAATCAGAGCATTTCCGTACTCTGGATCTTTTCTCGTCAGTACATGCATCCTATTTGTGGCATACCTGTGCAGTTATAGTGGTGCTGAGTACTGTTTGGCCTTCACCCGTTGCAGTTGCCAGTATATTCAGTTTGTAGTTAGAATTGCTGTCTCCGAGAGGAAGGAAGATGAATTTTACTTCATTGCTCTGACTGCATCGCAGAGTCTTACCTGATAAGGTTCAAACAAGAGAGTTTCTATCATTATTAGATTTCTAGTGAAATATACTCCATTGTGTTTGTAGCTAAATGAATATTATATTTCAGTATTGGATTATTAATCACACTACTAGCCAATCACATTATATGGTGCTACGATAATAGTAGCTGCATCCCTCACTTGCTCACCTGTCGCTGTACGCATTTGAGCCCTCTGTCACCTGACTTCCCTAGCTGTTACAGGTAGGAGTCATGTCACTACTGCCTCAGTCTGAATGGGCTACACTTTGGTTGAGTGGTGCTACTCGTGTTTTTGTGGAGATCACCTGTGGATTATTTCTCCGGAAGCCTTCCATCGATTTCTGGTATGTTATTTTGTGCCGTATGTTTATTGTTTTACTTGGTAGTAAATGCGTGTGTTTTTAGGCTGTAGCTGCAGAAGCCTCCTATTGGCCACGTTGTTTGCAAATTGGGCAACGCCGTTTGATCAGTAGCGGAAAGTGGGGTGAGTTGTGCCAGTTTTTACTTAGAGTGACTTTACAGTGAGGCCTTGAAAGGAATGCTTCTTTCTATAATATGTACATATATTTCAGGATCTAACTCATCCCTGGGATCAGTCACTTTGGATTGTTCTACAGTGCCACCCCCGTGTTTCTATGGATCTTTAGAAACACAACTTACCGCTGGGACAAATCGCCCCACATGTTAAAACAACGTGGAAAATAAATGCCACTGTTAAACTTAGTTACATCAGTGTCTTAAAAGATTTTGCTGATCCAGAAGTACTTACTCTGAGTGCTGAAACAATACTGACAGTTAGAGCAGGGATTTTCAGTATTGCAAGTTATATCAAAAGCATCAAGGATTGTTCCACTCTGTGGAGATATGCTACATGACAAGCCACTGGAGCCATCTCCATCCGTTCCGCAATCAGGTCCTCCCCCTCCCCCTTTTCCACAGTGGCCTTTGCAACAGTCTCCTCCCCCTTTTTCGCAGTTGCCTTTTCCGCAGTCGCCTTTGCAACAGTCTCCACCCCCTTTTTCGCAGTCGCCTTTTCCGCAGTCGCCTTTGCAACAGTCTTCTCCCCCTTTTCCACAGTCGCCTTTGCAACAGTCTTCTCCCCCTTT